AAGTGTAGGGGGGCTACCAACTGCTCAAATTTTGATCACATGACTATGGGGATGCTACAACCGGTTTAGGTTGGGGAACCATTTGTAAGTCCATTTAGGACTATTGTAACTTTGAATGGTCACTGAATGAATGGTTGTTAGATGAGAACTACCTGTATTTTCTTAGTTGTTACACACACACACACACACACACACACACACACACACACACACACCCCTACCTATTATTGTGTTCAGATTACTCCTGAAATAAATCATGGTAATTTCTATAAGCTTATAATGAACTTGGATGGCACTATTATTAAATATGCCAACTATTTAATTTTTATGGAAGTGCAGAGTCCCATCTCCCTTCCTATTTATAAATTCATATGAAAATTCACCTGCAAAATAGCTTTTCCATGCCTGTATCCTAGAGCTGGTGCAGACAGTTTGTAGAAAATCAGAAATCATAATGATGAAATAAAATCTTACCTTGCTATACAACATGCAGTGCTCTTCGTTCTGCTGTCCATTTGGGTTTTCTCCTGTACTCATTCATTATATGTTTGTTTTAGAGAGCTAGATGGTCCAGTATTGTATTCAAGTCTAGAATTGGGTTTACCTTCACTGCTGAAAAAATAGTAGACACTGACATACACACGCACACATGCACACACTCCCTCACTATTTCATTTCTATTGTACAGTGTTTCTATTGTGGGGGGTAAAATGGAGCTTGTGTGGGATATAAATCAAATCAATCAACCTGCATCTTTTCTGCATATTTTCGTAGGCTGTATAAGGTTTGTAATCTCTGCATCTTGAATTGCACTGACAATTATATCATAATCTTCTTCTAGGAGAAATCCAATTAGAAATACAAAACAGATCTGGATTTCTTAAAAGGGTAAGGCTCAGAGTGTATCCATTTCTATTGGTGAATTAGCTGTCGTAATTATCATAGAAATTGTCCTTTTAGATTTTATAGTGCTGTAATTACAACTGTTTCATCTCTAGGCCCTTCCTATGATACTTAATATGGTATTTTCTTAACACTTTGAGATAGTGTTAAAGCAGTCAAAGGTTTTTCCTTCAAAAATACTTGTGTGTACCCACTAGAGTTTTCTCTGGCACAAATCTGGAAGAGAGCGAGAAACTGTTGGCATGCTGTTAAAAAGCTTACATTAGGAAAGGAATGTTTTGCACTGAAAAGATATGTGGTGTATAATTAAAGCATCATCTCTGTTTGAAAACTTAAATTATGCTGGATGCCACAGGCTTCCAGAAAGCTAGTGTCAGACAAGGCATACCACACCATACAATACAGACAACTTATGATTAAAAAAAAAAATTTAAAGACCTGCTTCATCTGTAAAAGTAAAGGTCCCCTTGGACATATGTTCCTGATTCTAGAGGGCAGTGCTCATCTCCGTTTCAAAGCCGAAGCGCCAGCGCTGTCAGAAGACATCTCTCTGGTCATGTGGCCGGCATTTCTAAACGCCAAAGGCACATGTAGCATTGTTGCCTTCCCACCAAAGGTGGTTCCTATTTTTCTACTTGCATTTTTTTAAGTGCTTTCAAACTGCTAGGTTGGCAGAAGCTGGGACAAGTAATGGGAGCTCACTCTGTTACGCAGCACTAGTGATTCAAAACGCCGAACTGCCAACCTTTCTGATCGACAAGCCCAGCGTCTTGACCACTGAGCCTTGTTTTCTCTGTGGTTGATGCTAAAATAAATAGGCATTCTGAAGGTGACATTTAATGAGGTAGCTTTTATTTGTGTGTCCAAGCAAGCAGCAATCTAGAATAGGAACCGTCTATCTAATTGTTGGGTAGCCCCATACTAACAAATAATACAGATAGTCCTTGACTTGCCATAGTTCATTTAGTGACAATTCATAGTTACAATAGCATTGAAAAAAGTGACTTATGACCATTTTTCAAACTTACAATCATTGCAGCATTCCCATAGTCAAGTCAAGTGATGAAAATTCAGATACTTGGCAACTGACTCATTTATGATTAATATATAATCAATATAATATATAATCAATTAATATAATAAACTCTGTTAGACGTTTGGGATGTTCAGCCCTGTTTTTTTCTTTTTTGTAGCACTATGCCAACACCCGCCTGGCCTGGTAACCAGACCGGGCATTCTTTGTCAGCAGTGGGGGCAAGAATACAGTAAAGGTCGGCTTAGGCAGCAGAACAGGTGCGATGTAGAGCTAAAAGGGCATAGATGGAGAAGAGAGATAGGCTGGAGGAAGTTGAAGCGCCCCTCTGGTCGTAAATTTGGGGACCCTGCCAAGCACTCAAATTTTGATCATGAGACTGTGGATGATACTACAACAAGTGTAACAACGTTACTATAACTTTGGATGGTCCCTGAACATATAGTCATAAATTGAGATCTATCAAGTCTTAAGTCCCCTCTTCCACTAGTTCCTGTTTTGGTTAAAAAAATTGCATGACACTGAATTTTGTTTTCCCAACTGCTTAAAAAACATTGCTGAAAATAAATCAGTGCTTGGGTAAACCGATTTTGGTTCTGTTGATTTTTCCACAACTATGAACCAAATTAAACCTCTAGGTACTCACTGCTAAATTTAGCACTGTATTCTCAAAATATTCCATTTACTCTCATTTATGAAGTGAAACTAATGCAGGGTAGTTTGGGAATTAACACTGGAATATGTGAAAGAGTTAACTTGGTATTAAAAATACATCTGAAAGTGGCCTTGAAAAGTACAAATAGAATTGTTCTTGTAGCCCTTTGGGGTATGCTGTGCTGTTTGTTACAACTGAAGCCGTAACCTCTGATGACTAATACTTGACTCAGCCATCATTTTTTTAAAAAACTGATTCTGTTTATAAAAATAAAATCCACTGAAGGACACTAGTTTTAAAGGATAATAAAATTTATAGGCTAATGATGTTTCAGTTTAATCTGCCACGTTAGATGTTCATCAGTCATTTTAATGTTGATTCAGTCATGATTGTGATAATAAGGAAGAACTGCTTCCAGTAATTGGAATCACTTTAATATACTATTAAACTCAACAATACAACACCTGCAGATTTCAGTGCTCCATGATGACATTCACATGTAATGTCAAAAACTGTTCATAAGCCTATGACTTTCATATTCTGTCTTCTTTTACCCCTTATTTTGTCTTTTACAACTGACAATCCAATCATGGTTCAAATCTTCGTGACAGCAAAGTTTCATGAAGAATTTGTTTCATATAATATTTAAATCTTGTTTTTATTATTATTATTATTCTTTTGCATCCTATTACTATTTTTAATCGGTTTTGAAGAGTGTAACTCTGGAAATGGTTTCAAATAACCCTACTTGTTTGTTTATTTATTTGACATATCAGGCTACAAAGGATAGCCTTTTGTCTATCCTTTCCAGACTGAAAATACAGGTTATTCCAAAGTTATAATTGTGAATAAAGTGGGGAAGGGGGCAAAGCTTAGTTGTAAGATGAGCTATAGAAGAAATATGATTCCAGATAGTTTGGAATCTTTTTTTAAATTTTGATGCCTAGAGCTTTAACTTGGGATAACTCTGAAAAAAAAATAGGAATACAGTTATTGATAGAAAGCTGGGCAAAACGTTTTTGTGTTTCTTCTTAAGAGGTATGCTAATATTGACAGTAATTTTAAACTCTGTATAACAGACAAATATATGACTTAGTCAGAGACAGTTTGTGGTATATGAACTAAGAATATAAATATGTCAGAACAGTTAACTGTTCTTCATTTTGCATCTGATTTGCAGCATTTAACAGCATGATGCCTATATTTATTTTACTATATATTCTTCATATATATATTTTTAGAATATATTTTTTTCATTTGTTTATGGGTTTTTTGTGTATAAAATACTTCCAGAATATTAACTATATCTTTTGGGAGTTGAGGTGACTTAAAACTGATATCAGCTAAAATATCTCTGTTCATTTCTTTAATAGCAATTTGTGAAGTCGCTAACTCTATTTTCTTCTTTTATACATCACTTTGAAATTATGAGATAACAGGAGGAGGTGAAAATAAAGCAAATCATGGTTGAATTAGTTGAAACTGCAGAATGCTTTGATCTTTCTCAAATTAGTACAAATACTATTTCACTTTTTTTTAGGGAAGTGTGGATCAAAGACATTTGTACATGTGTCTGTTTTAAACAAGGAAACTAATATAAGAAAAAAAGTAGTTATGCTTAGTATTTCCCTGATAGATATCAAATAGTATACCATGTAAAGATGAAAGTGGTCCATAGCATACATATTTTGTTACTGGGAATCAGTTGGGTCTAGTGGTTAAGGCACCACCAGGCTAGAATGTGGGAGACCGTGAGTTCAAGCCTTTCCTTAGGCATGAAAGCCATTTAGGTGATTTTGGGCCCGTCCACCTCACAGGCTTGTTATTGTGTGGAAAATTGGAGGAGGAAGGCATCTTGGATGATAACAAAAATAAAGGCGAAACATATGCCTATACATATACCTCTCATAGGCAGTTATGTCTATTTTTTTCAAAGATATTGAGAACATGCTGCAAATGCTATTTGTTGATAACACTGAATGTTCATTTGTGGAGAAAATAAATATGCTCTGATTACTGTAACTATTTGGCTTCTAACCTGTTCTATGAATGACACTTGTTATACATTTACAATATATGTGTTTCCAAAGAAATAAAGCTGAAATAGGATAGAGTGGAGAAAACAGATTTTAACAATTCATTTGCAAGATACTATGATGTGTCACTTGGGAAATCATCGGAATAGAGTCATCAATATCATTTGAGAAGGAATTCTGCTGTTGAAAAAAGTAGTAATTATTCTGAAGACTAGAAACTGCCATTTATTTACTGAGATTAAATGTTTTTCATAGGGCTGATAGATGGAACCTAAGAGATCTGCTTTTGTTTGACATTTTAATTCACGCTAATTCATGCTAATTCACGAATACAGAGCATACCATCACTTTCTCTTTTCCTTTCTCCTTCAAGATCTGGTTTGGATGCCTTTTATATTAATTTGAGCTGCCTATGTAAAGAATAGACTCTGGGAGACATGCTGAAAATCACTTGGCTTCCTCTTTCCATGGAAAACTGAATGGAATGTGGTGTTAGAACTGTGAAAAGAGGCCCGTAGAATTTAGCTGCAGTGATGAGTTCTGAAGAGAAAGGTATTTCTCCTGCTCACAGAACCTCCACACCATCACATAAAGCTGACTCCTCTTCATCATATTCCCAATGGGACACTAGGCAGGTAAGTGAAAGAGTGTTCTTTTAATTATGAATGTAGAAATCCTGCAAGTTAGTTGGGGCGTTCTTTATTTACTTCACCTTTTAAAGAAAAAAGTGAGTCAGTGGATAAAATTATGTTTCAGTAAAGATAGCTGTAATTAATAATGGCAAAATCCTTTGTGAGTTCTCTAGTTCTTTGTTTTCTAGTACCATTTTATCTTATATTATTCTAGTGTATCCACTCGTATTGGATTATTATACAGTCTGCCTAATCCCTTCTACTGCTATCTTGAGACCTTATCCCCGAAGCTTCAGTCTCTCTGATTCTTCCACCTACCCTGTTGAAACATTTTCAGTTCTATTGTTAGTTTATTTTTTTTTATTCCACCTCTGACAATATTTTCAACCCTCCTTCAGATGCTCTGCTGCCATTCCTTGATTCCTTATGATCAAACAGTACTGGTAGCGTGAATCCTTTTCTTTTTCTTTTTTGCAATACTGGTGGTAATGGCTAGCAGTGTATCAAAGTGAAATATTCGTCCTGTAATGCCTGACATTTTACTTCCCAAGAATGCCTCTCCCAAGACTTCCCACAAGGGACCCATTGTTATTCTGAGGAAATGTTCCTGTCAGAGCTGCCTTGAGAACTGTTAGCTTATCTATAAGGAAGAGATCATAAGTAGTTATATCATTCTTTGCAGAATATATCTTTGTGACTTGAGCCAGAATTTACAGAGATAATTTGGAATTGGGCATTAATTGTTAATTCCAAATCAAAACATATGTTTTAGATGAAAGATAAATATATTCTATATGCAATATTAATGTTTAAAATAATTATAAACATGTGATCTAAGGCATAACTAATTATTCTTTTGCCCAATCTTGAAATAATGTCATTACTCACACACACAAAAACCAGTTTCTGTTTTTACGGAAGAACAGTGGCAATTCCAAATGAGATCCATGATTCACAAACAAGCAATTACAAATTGTTTTATTATCCCCAGGTTATGTTAAAATTAGTCCCTGTTAATTACCTCCAATTTAAGAAAGGAATGCATTAGAAAGATGCAGAATTGATAGTATTGTATTCCAGTAATCATTCATCATGTGTTAATTAGTCTTTTATTTCTTGAACTTAATTTGGTCATTTTAAATTCTGTCATTAGATAATTTCTGTCTCCCACAAAACATTAGTCACGTTTGCTGTTCAGTTGTTTTCATGATGCATCTATTTTGCTCTTGATGTTGTCTCTCTATTATTCTTACTAAATGGCTGAGGTAGTTGGAATAAAATGTAAATCACTTAGCTACATTAAAATAATATATAATATAATATAAAAGCATTATTAAAACCCAATAAGAAAAGATGGATCTTTAAGGCTGGACCTAAGTGATTAAAGCTTTAAAGTACTGATAACCAGTGCTTATTTCTCTCCAAAAATACGAGTAAAAAGTTCAACTGCTTAGGAAAAGCAGTTTAATTTAAGCAGTTTATTTAAATTTTCTTTTATTAGCCCTAGACTCCATTCTGGTTGCTGCATTTTGACTCTGTAATTCCTAAACTATGTATAAAGTAGAGCAGAACATTTTATGCCCATATAGGCCTTACCAGCCACTTGCGGACACATTGTGGACAGCCCACAACCTGTTGGATGTCAAGGGCCTCTTCGAACATGATGGATGAACATCATAAAGTAGAGCACATTACTGTAATCTGATTTGAAAGTTATGAACCGGTAGAATGTTTTGATGTCATTTGCTCTCATTGTACTATACAGCTAGTGAAAGTGTTCTTGGCCATAGTTTCATCTTATACTATCCAGATGAGACAAGCAAATCCAAGATTAGGGAGAAGGAGAGGGAGAGCACTATTGTCTTAAAGCAAGAGTCCAAAGAATAGATTTATATATTGTAGCATATTGTCAAATATCCTTGGATCAAGTATAAGCCAGTTGGACTGTGCTCAATGCTGCAATTCAATAGGCAGAAGCTGATTAACCAGTGTAATTCTAGAGTTGTACAGGTGGAAGAGATCAAATAATCAATTGAGCCCAATTTATTCTCAGTACAAAAATCCAAATTAAACTGCCCCCAATAGACTGCTGCCAACCTTCCCCTAGATAACCACCAACTTTCTGTAAATTTCTTTTGACAAATTGTGTATTTGTGTAATTGTTTCCTCAAGAGGTTTTAACTGAGCATGATTTCCTTATGCAAATATCAAGCACCCAATGAAGATTCTTTCAATATTCTGCTTATATAAATTATGTTTCGATAAGGAACAAGTGAGTCACCTTAAAAGAGCACACTTTCAAAAGAACATTGCAAGACAGATATTCAAGTCTTTGTACTTTCAAATAGATATATCAAGAATAAATTTATTCTGCTTTATAGTACTGTGCTTAACAGATTTAATTCGACTCAACTCAAGGCAGGATCAAACTCGTGTTTATCTTCCAAGCATAGAGAGAGACAGAGTTTAACATACTTTTACCTAATTAATTTTCACATTGTTATAGTGCATACAGTGAATGGACTCAGAATTTCATCACGTTTTTTCCAAAATTATCCATCTGTGAAGTTTAATGGATCTGCTCTGCTATGGGTGGCATATGCCGTCATAATTAGGGTTATCCCTAATCCCACATCTGGGAGAAAAAAATCCAGATAACTACTAGATGTGGGAAAGAATCAGATTTTTCTGTACATCTTGGCTGCCCTGTTTGTGCTGGTCTGAATTTCTGCAGCCCAATTATAATATTCCTGCACATGAATCCATTCTTGCCTCACACATGTTCACTTTATATCAGAAGAGTATGTACATAATCTCCCGTTGTACTTCAGGCAAGACAGCTGTGGACATAAGACATTTTGTATTAACTCAATATAATTTTGGAAATTTTAGGGAAAAAACCTAATTATACTATCTTAAGTTGGCAGGAAAAGACTGTTGAATGTTAAGATGCTGACTGAAATAACATTCAGTACTAAAATTTGAAAATACTTTGTATATTTTGTTTATTAGAATAAATGTTCATTAGAATAGAATGTTTTCGTTTCCATTCCCTCAAAGCTTCTTACTTATAAATGACAACTAAGTATTTTCAATGACAAACATTTACTCCAGTCTTTCCTTTGTGTTTTAGAGTGGCCATGTGTTAGAGCGAAATGCTTCTGTTGGAAGCGCAGACTTGATTATTGGGAAACAGTTGGTAGAGAATGAGCCAATCGCTATATCTAAAGTAAGTAAAGTCTTGGTTCTTGCATAAGTAGATGGTTGCAGAACACCCCCAATTTAATAATTGGGGGGGGGGGGTGTTCAATAAGGCTATGCAAATCATTTGATTGCAGCAATGCTATAAGCCAAGTGCCATTCCTCAAAGTACTGAAGCACTGAAGTCCTTGCATTAAAGTCTGCTTTGAGGGCTTTTCTAGGTAATCTTCATTTCTACAAAAATAGTGATCCTAGGATTAATGATAAACGAGAAGGATTCAGATTATGCTTGAAGAATACAGGTATTTTTAAACAAATATTAAAAAAACTTGAAAGTGTATTTTCTGGATTGCATTTCATGCATATAAACAGTTTATATTTATAAACTATATTTTGGAGGAAAATTCAATTAAAGGAATTTTATTTCAAATGGATCTTGCATGTTCCTTCTGTGGCCAGTTTTAATTATACCAATTCACTTTAAGGACCCTAATACAGTTTAATACAATAGCAGAGTTGGAAGGGACCTTGGAGATCTTATAGTCCAACCCCCTGCCTAGGCAGGAAACCCTATACCGTTTCAGACAAATGGCTAGCCAACATCTTCTTAAAGACTTTCAGTGTTGGGGCATTCACAACCTCTGGAGGCAAGCTGTTCCACTGATTAATTGTTCTAACTGTCAGGAAATTTTAGTGACTGTTCAAAGTTACAATGGCTTTGAAAAAAATGATTATGTAATCAAAATTTGGACTCTTGGGCAACTGGGACATATTTATGATTGTTGTAGTGTCCTGGGATCATGTCATCACCTATTGTAACCTTCTGACAAGCAAAGTCAATAGAAAAGGCAGATTCACTTAACTGTGTTATTAACGTAACAATTGTAGTGATTCACTGTGTAATTGTTGCAAGAAATGTCATCAAATGGGGCAAAACTCACCTAACTGCCTTGGTTAACAAATGAAATTTTGGGCCCCGTTCCGGTCATAATTCGAGGACTACTTGTATCCTTTTCATCTTCCCCATCTTGAATCATCATTGCTGGGTTTCATAACTGTAGAGGTCTAACAGAGGTTGCTCAGCCCTATACTGAAAGTGTGAATCTTTGGAGAAAACTAGAAAGATAAAATATCCTACAGCTTCTTGAAACGTGTTTCTCATCTGCATTACGAGGAAGAAAAATTGGATTAAGAAACAGCTTTTTAAAATCAAAAGTTATTCTAGTTAATTGAAAAAAAATGTCTGTAAGTGCTGCATATAATGAAAACACAATACATCTGCTTTCATAAATTCTGGCACTAGAAAAAAAATGAATGATTACTATCAATGCATTTTCTTCCTGGCAAAAGAACAAAGGCAAATTATATGAAACTAAGCAAACTACAAGAAACATACAGGTCGCTCTTGAATTACAGTGGTAATTGGTGCCTGATTGTTAAACAGGTCATTAAGCTTGGTGTCATGTGACCATATTCCTTAGTGACGACAATCATGACAGTCCCTGTTGCTATCATTAACATAATTCAATCATTAAGTGAGAACCCTGATTGGAACCATTTCTAGCTTCATCCTTTCCAGCTCAAATCTTTGGTGAGTTAATTGCTTCAGTTGTTTGGAAGTTACAGTGGCACTGAAAAAAGTGACTTATGACTGTTTTTCACACTTACGACCTTGCAGCATCCCCATGGTCATGTGATCAAAATTCTGACATGGGGTAACTGACTCATATTTATGACAATTGCAGTGCCCTGAGTTCCAGGGACATACAGTCAGGGGAGGCAGAGCCTCACCACTGTTGTCATGAAAAGAAAAAAAATGTAAAAGGAAAAAGGCTGAGCTAGTTGCTGCCAGAGTCACAGT